GGCTGAATGTGAAACCGATCAGAGTCCTCTCATCATGATTTGAAGCATGGCCGAAATCTTCATGAGTGCAAAATGGCAATCGTTAGGTGCGTGGGCCGGCCGCACCATGACTTTCAGCTCCAGGGACAGTGGCCAGTGACGCTGCTTGTCACTTGCGCTCACTTCTGCCACTTCCTCCATCCGTTCTGCCAGTAGTACCAATTGCCCCTCCAAAGGGACCAGTGCCAATCGGAGTTCGAGCTGGAGCTGGAGGTCTGGCTCTGGTTGCAGTTGCTGGGAGCAGGCCGACCCAGTTCTCTGGCCAGCTCTTCGAGGCATGGCAGCAGCCTGATGTCCATGGAACTGCTTGGAGAATCCAAGCAGGCCAGCAGGAGCTGCCTACTGAAGGTTATGCCGGCGTTAGTGTAAACCTTCTTGACCTGCACTGCGTCGGCACCTTCTTCCTGGGCTGCTTGGGGGGGCCGCTCAGAATCAATTGCGGACGGTACGTCACTAGGCGGGGGCGGGGGCGAATTCGCACCTGGCCTTGCAGATGCTGCAGCTCTGCTGCGTCTTGCAACCATGGCTTTTAGCCCCCTAGCTCCTGCTGGAGCGCCGAGAGCTTCTTGTCAATGCTAGCCGTCGCCTGCTGCATGTCACGGAGTCGAGCATGTTGCTCGCTCTGCTTCTGCAGACTTGAGGCGAAGGCCTCATTGAGGCTTTCAAAGCCTTTCCGGATCATGGGACCGTCCATGGCACGGATCTCAAGTATATGACGTATCAGGTGAAGTTGTTGTTTCTGATCGCTGCGATGACCAATGATGCCATGTGAAACACAGCTGCTGCAAGAAGACCACAGTACGAGGTCGCATGTCTCGTGGCTCGGGGCTACCGCCGCCTCTGTGCCTGCAACTTCGACCGCACACACAACGTCTCAAGTCGCAGCCGCCCTTCGGTTTAGTTCTTGAGCTGTCATGTGGAAAAGCCGCGTGCAGTCTGCAGGGGTCTTCAACAGAAAGGCACTTTATGGCTGCATGTTCGGGCACACGTAGCACCAAAATCATCTGCCTAGCTCTGGTCGCCGAGTCCGAGTGCCAGGCGTTTAGCAGGAAAGCGATCAGCGCGTTTACCATCACCCAGTGCCAACTGGGCCAGTGGGCAAAGGCATGAGAACACATCTTCAGCGGGAACAGCTTCCCGACAAAAAAAAGCGAGAAGCGAAACCCTCACCTGAAACAGCCGTCGATTCCGGGAATGGCGTGAGCGAACTTGGCATGCCAGTTGCAGACAGGATGCTGCCGCTTGAAATCCACGAGCACATCCGGCGTCCAGGTAGCCACCACCCCCACAGTCAGGAAAATCAGTGAGAAGGGTGCCTTGCAGAGTCTGGAGAAAGTTTTGGGGCTTCGGTTTCAATCGCTCAGAGGAACAACGTTCGTTTGTGGTCATGGGCCGCAGGCCTTTGAGCTCGAAAAAGCTACCACAGCTGACTGGTAAGTTCCGGCCTGGAACAACACGAAAGTCAGCACGTCTAGCTTCAGACCGGCGCCAGACATCACCTGTGCTTGCAATAAGAACAGGTCCAGGTGTTTAGCACTGGAGGCCCTAGCAAGCGATTTCGTTGGAACCGTCATGCCTATCAGTCTACCTTGCACACATCCGCGAACCCACCTCACTCCTATGTGAGTGGAAGCTCGAGTGGTCCCTCATTTCAAAACTACAGAAAATGCAACGCTGTAGTGATTGCCACTCGAACAGGCTGGCTACGGCTAGAAGCCGGGTGGCAGCTTCACCAATCAAGTTCTTGGAGCACTCAGTCAGCTGCGATGCGAGCTGGAGGATGAGCCCAACCATCCTTAAGTAGCAACGGCACATTCGCCAGTGTCCTCCCTGTCGCATAGCTTTGCACAGACTGCCTGCGTCGTTTTTCGCGACCTGGAAGCCAAGGCACACAAAGTGGATTTCCCCGTGAGCACACCTTGATCGAAAACGAGTGGCTCACGACGAGCAGACGGCCAGGATTTTAATACGAGTAGTGCCACGCCAGGTTGGCCAGGCATGCCTCTCGACATCCCACATCCCTCTTCTTCTCTCTGCTTCTCCGGAGCCCGGAGACCAGCTCTTCCCGCCTTTCTGCGTATTTCTTTGTCTGGGGGTTGAGTGGCGCGTGTCAAAACCGTACCGGGAGTCGGCTGCACTAGCAACACTCTGACGTCCTCACCAAAAGAACACTCCCCATGTACTTTGGAACGGTACTTTCGCTCTCCCTTCCTCCATTTCCGTGATCAGGCAGGAGGCGTTGTGCAGCCGGCAATGACAACGATGAGAACGGAAAGCTTATGCCAGCCTTGGTTGCAGCGCGCTACAGGCAGGAGCTCCAACTGCGGTCCACAGGTGCCGCCAACGGGCTAAACGTCTGACTTCCAACTGCACAGGACCTTGGTGGGCTGCCGAAAGCGCCTGAGAGCTCTTGCTCTACACTGTCGAAGCATATTCGGCCCGGCCAAGCTACATGAAGAACATGACCGCCACATTTCCCTGCTTGCAGAATTGAAGAAACGCGACGCTGGAGTACTTGTACGCCTGGTTCCTCAGCTGGGCATGGTGCTGTTGAACACGGCCTAGCAGCATGCATTCAGATCCCAGGCCTCGCGACAACTGTCCCTGAGCATCTGACCGATGCACATTACAAGGTACGATCAATTATTCGAGCCTGGTAAACCGAAGTGAGCCAAGAAGGTACGGGAGCACCGTAATTGCGGTCTTTCACAGGCCTTACGACCATAGGCAAAACATGTCCCAACATTGCAAACAAAACTCAACCTTCAGCTTACAGATTTAGCCCGAGTTAAGTCCTCCGGCAACCCCTGGAGCAGCTTCCATGCACTCTATAGTCAGCACCGTTGTGTACGTTACCATCTGCACAGAATGTACAAAAGCCAGCCTGATCCGGCCGCCCACGGCACAGACAGGCGCTGACAGATGCACCCAGGTTTGTAGCGACACTACACCGCGCCAATACAGCCAGGCGTCGAGCAATACAAGGCCAGGGCAAACAGCAAACCTAAAGGAGCAATCCACTTGGCAATCAGCCATAGGTTGGCCTGGCAGCTTCTGGGAGACGAATGGAATTTGTTGAGAAAGTTATGACTGCTCCGGTAATAAAGCTTGACAACTGATCCTAGATGCATCAGCAAATGCCAGTGCTAAGGGCTGCAAATAGCTGGATCTTGCCGTAGACACACTGCCCGTGGAAAGCCACGTCGACAACACCCGGGACCCTAATATAGTACCCTAAATAGTGGGATCCTTACTAGAAGGACCCCAAAACAAGGTCCCCCTAATTTTCCACACAGAGCCTTGGCCATGCCCATGGAGGGGTAATACCTGGAGCAAGTGGCGTCTTAGCCCTGTGAGGCAGGTGGGCTCCGACCAGGCCAGGCCCCCGGCTGCGGTGCTACCTTGTAGAAGGCCAATGAGAGGCACAAGGTTACCACCTGGCACGTGGGAGCACAGAAGGGAGCGGCGACAGGATGATTTCGCAAGGCCGCGGCCATGTGGATTGCTGTGAGATGCACGGCATGGGAGAACCTCATGGCAGCACTGGAACGCCTTGCAGCGGCTTGCCCATACGCACCCCGACCGTGTGCCAGCCTCCCTGGCTGCATCAGGAACTTGTTGAATGATATCAGGGTAGAACTTGTCACGATATACACAGTTCCTCGGTCATCGGGCAGGCAGCAAAACTACGCAGGTTCTATCCTGTCAGTTTTTTCTGACGAGCTCGTTTTGTGTGATCGTCAGCCCGGTCCGTTCTGCAAGCTCTCTGCTGTCAAGTGTCCGATCAGGATAGTCTGCCACACCTTGGCTGCCAAGGCCGAGCCTGGTGGAGCCAAAGGCCCTGCAAAAAAAGCCGAGAGGCAGAAGCCACCTCATTCTGATTCTCGGGCTGTCCGGCCATGAAAGTGGCAAGAAGGTCCTCACTCCGGCTGTGTGCTCCCCTGGAAACATGCGAAAGTCGCTTGTAGTGTCACTCATGCATCCGGGTCCTGACAAGAATTTGGCACGTACCTGGGCTCTTAAGGGTAGGCCCTGGCTTTGAATCTGCTAGGCTTAATTTTTTCCGCGAGAATCTGCTAGGCTTAATTAAGAGCCAGGGAAGAGGTCCAAGGCAAGCCCAGTCTGTGGAAAGACAGCTTCTGCTCCAACTAACCGAGCCATTGCATACAAGCCGCTTGCTTGCGGAGGGGTGTCCGATTCGGCTATAAAGCTGTAAGAATTTAGAACGCGGCAGCGGAGACAGCACAACGTGAGATGTAAGACAATCTCCTGCAAACGACATTGGCATTCCGCCCTGACATGCCAGCCACCCACGCAGCAGAAACTGCAATCAACGATTCAATGCCCAGGCGTCCCTGCACGCCGCCCTTCTTTCCCATAGCCGCTAGGCCTGCCCAGCTAGGGATGACTCGCATTGCAGGCCATTCAGGCATTCGGACTTGCTTGGTGATTCCCGTTCGTGATCCCGAAGCACAAAGCGAGCCTGTAACCGTCCAGGCCCACCGCAAGAATCGTTGCGTGATGGGCTCTCCGGCCTTCGAGACCTCGCAAGAACGTTCAACTGAAAAATCGCACAAACACGAACAGAGCATTGGCATTTCTAAACCAACAGAACCAAACAGTATCAGTCTTGGAACTTACCAAACTAGACCACAGAATCACGATTTGGCTAGCCGAAACCCAAATCCCCGTATTCTGATCATGCCGCATCACCAGCAATCACGAGTCTTTGTCTGCACAATCGCTGCTCGGTTTGTGGTCTTTGGAACTGTACACATGTGGCACATGTGGCTCCTAAAGCCTGAAATTGGAGCAAAACAAAATCTGCAACAACAAGTCGGCCATTTCCAGTGCGGCGGAAACACTGGTACTGCGCGGCGTGTTGCCTGCATTCACAAACGTTCCGCCTTGCTGTCAGGATACCAACGAACCATGACCTGCAGGGATTCACGAAGTCGCCCTCATGCTCCTCCCTGTGGGGCGGGTTGCACTTCAGCCATCTCCCCTTCGGTCTTGGCAGAATCCTGCATATCGAAATCTTCGTTCTCCTCGTGAGCCCTCTTCGCTTTTTCGGGTGCAGGAATGGGTCCTTTGCCTAGAGCTTTGCACATGGTGGCGAAGAGCTTCTTGGATTTCTGGTCTTCCTCCTTTTGGCCTTGCTGCGCACGCTTGAGCAAGCTGCGGGAATCACGGTTCTGTGGGTCCAGCTCTATCAGCCTCTTGCAATCCTGTATGCAGTCCAAGAAGTTCTTCATGCCGAACTGGGCTTGCGCACGACGGAGGAGAGCCTTTAGATTCTGAGAATCTTCCTTGAGGACGGCATCACAGGCGCCCTTCGCCTCGAAGTGATCATCCAACTTCAAGTAGCAGGCTGCTTGGTTCAGCTTGCAGAGCTTCTTGAGCTCCTTCGCCTTGGCTTTGTTCTCCTCTTTGAAGTTGTCGACATAATTGAAGAGGTCTGCCACCTTCTTGTATCGCTGCAGCGCCAGGGTAAAGCGGCCACTCTTGAAGAGACTGGTGCCAACTTCCTTGCGCTGAGCCCCAAAATCCAGCTTCTCCTCCTCGGACATGCTCCAGGTCTCCTTGGTCTTTGCGAAATCCTTCAGATTCACTGTGAACCGAAGCGTGTCAGCTTCAAGAGAGCTGAGTCCCAGCTGGGCTTCTGCCGCCTGGGCCTTCGATGCTGTGATGATGGCCTTCTCCCCCTTCTTCATCGAAGACACGGCACACTCCAGGGCGTCGCAAACATCCCCGTTTCCCAGCGCGAACTCAAGGGTCTTGGCCTGGAAGCCGGGCAAGCTCTGGCCAGAAGCGTCGGTGGCAGCTTCAACTTCAAGCGTCACCTGCGCGCCGTCCTGGGGCATCTCATAGCCCTCGCCCTCGACGATCTGCTTCTTCGTCACAGAACTGTTGGATTGGAAGGAAACATCCTTGGTCTCATAGATTTGCGACAGCTTGATGGTCACCGAGGCACCATCTGGGCTTCGGTCACCGTACGCGTAGTCTTTGGAACACTTGAGCTGAACCTCCTCACCCACCTTCATGCTTTGCAGGGCCTTGTCGCAGGCCTTCGCAATGGGGCCCAGGGCTGAGCTGTCGGAGCCTAGAACATACTCTAGATCAGCGTGCTCCTCGAGGATGCTGTCGCCCGCCTCCGCTTTCACTGAAGCGAGCACCTCGCTGCCGATTTTGGGGGTTCTCCAGCCGGTGCCCTCCGTGATTCGAGTCAGAATCACACCCTCGTCTCCGAAGAGATCAGACTTGGACATCCAGCTAATCAGTTCCACCTCGAAGACCAGGGTCGCATTCTCTGGGATCTTGGGTGGCGAGCCGCTCTCGCCGTATGCGAACTCTGGGGCCAGGGTGAACTTGGAAACCTCGCCTTTCTTCATGGTGGCCACGCCCAAGTCCCAGCCCTTGATGACCTCACCCCTTCCCAAGGTGAACACGAAGGGGGTGCCGCGAGACCGGGAGGAGTCAAACTCGCTGCCGTCGGCCTGCAGGGTGCCAACGTAGTGCACGGTGACTTCGTCCCCTCTTTGGGGCATCTTCCAGCTTCCATCAGGTGCTGGAGTCAGCACCTCTTTCGAAACGCCCTCTGGCAGCTCTGTGGGCATGTCCCCCATGTCGTCGTCGGACATGCCATCCATTCCATCCATATCCATGCCAGTCTGGGGGAGTTCCTCGTCCGACATCGACATTGCTGGAAGACGCTGGCCGCTAGAATCCGGCAAAACCTTCCTTTGCCTCGCCTGGGTCGAATTGCTTCAGCCAATATGGCCACACGACGGATTTGAAGGTTATGTCGTTGCAAGTGTATAAATCGACCGGAGTCTGCTGCTGCAGAAGATTTCAGACTGCACACAAACCACTTAGGCCGTGGCCGTGGAAGCGGCTTCAAAATCCTGATGGGTGGCTGAGTCACATACGCGCTAGCAAGGACTTCCACTGCAATCCTCCCAGGACAACATCTCCAGGACCTTTCAATATCAACTTTTAGCGCCGGTGCTCATCATGCTACCAACAGCTACTCCCCTCTGGCATTTCTCTGTCAGTCTCACGGCTTATTCCGTTGCTTGCACCGTTCAGAAGGCTTCGCAGCCGTACGGCTTCAACCGCTCCTGGAACATTCCTTCAATATAGGGGCCTTACTCATCAGAATAGAGTTTTGGGGCCCATTATGCCTACAATTATACTAAAGAACCCCCAAAATAACTGGTACTTATTTAGGCCCCCTATATTACTCACCCCTCTCTACTGCAACTGATGACCTGCTGCTATGAATGTCCCACGGCCACCTGCAGTAATCTCCACTGGAGGACCAGTGCTCTACATGGGCAACATGGCCAAAACCGGGCCTGGGTTGCAAGTTGCTCCGCAGCGGCGTAGAGCTTCAGCTTGGGTAGTGCCCAGGCCTCTTCTGGGAGTCATCTCATCCATGTCACGGTTTCTACGGCGTCACTGATAAAACTGAGAAGCAGGTTTATTAAAGGAATACCGCGGTTGATGTTGCCTTACAAGTAACTATACTAGGTCGATACTAGGCGAGGCCGCACTTTCCACCGTCCGGCAACTCGAAGCCCCCGCCTAAGCCTAAAGCCCTGGCACGAGCCAACGTTGATCCTACAACAGGGGAAACAGCTCGACTCTCGCAGCTGGAACTATTTTTCGGTGCTTTGGAAAATCAGACTTGCAACCTTCATCCGGACAATGCTTGGCGATCGTGCTTCTTGGCTCTGAGCCGCGCGCCGTCAGATCTACGTGGTAGCAGGCCTTTGGTAGCTCCTGTCGTCATGTCGAAGCGACAGTGCCGAGACTTCACCGAGACTTTGGAGCCTTTAGAGCTGCGGCTCCTCCAAGAGACGCTTGGCTCCTCGATTGGAGACCTTGGGACTCATTTTGGAAGAGCCTTTAAAAATATGGTCAGTTTCAGGCAGGGAATCGATCATGAGACATGTCCTCCGAAGCCTCATTAGGGTAACTGCTGATGGCCTTCAAAGGTATCGAGAAAAACAAGTTCTCCCTCCGGCGTCGGGTGCTTCGGGCCGCTCCTTCCAAATAGCAGAACTATGATGATCCGGATGCTAGAAGCCAATGCCACAGCATTCTACAGCATGCTACAGCTAGCAGTCAACACCATGTGGATCCATGTGGTGCAATCATCGGGAATTGATGTGGCAAAGGACCTCTCGCGAAAACTGCCTTCGGCTCAGGAACATCCCGGATGCATTCGCACCGAATCTCCCTCCATGAGCAGAAGTTGCAAGCCCTTGCCAGCTTTTGAGCCTCTCATGAAACAGCCAGTGCTGATTCAGCACCTGAAATAGCCCCAGCTCAGCACGTCAGCTTGCCGCCAAGAGACCATGTACGCGTGCGTGCCTGCGAACCATCCAAGGGACTGGATCATGTTTCGTTGGGTTGCGGCAGTCTTTGTGGTGGCCTGCTGGTCGGTGTGGGACGAAGACGCCTGGCCTTGGATGTGGACCGTTCCGCAGTAAGCACTCGCACAAATGCGCCACGTCTACTCAGACGTACTGCTGCACTGGGCGAGCTGGAAGCATCACGGCATGTAGGTGTTCGGCGCCACAGTCCGGGTAGCACCAGGAGATGGTCGACCGCCACCGGAACCTGAGACTGCTACGTAGATAGATGTTTTGAAGTTGTCTTGTGCACTTCATTTCAAAACCTGCCTAGCTGTTGCCGGGGGCTCTTTGACTTGCTTTTGAGCTTTTGAGTTGAATGCGCTGCCGATGGTCACCGGTTGTCACGGTTAGCACGAGGTGCAACTCTGTACTTTAAGTACAGGGTCCATCTGAGTCTTGGCTGTCCATGCTGTCACGGAAGCCAAGACGACGAAAGACCACAGAGCTATCCAAAGACGAGATGAGCATCAAGAAGACACAACAAAGCACACGATAAACCTCAACAACCAGGGTGTAACCCGACCTATTCGAACCAAAGTGAATTTAAAAGCAGGGTACCTTGGGTACCAGATGTGAAGCAAGCTTTCTGCACCGTGGCAGAAGCGGGGTTATGTTTGCAGCAAGCATATTCAGCACCGAGTTCAAGCAACTCTCCGTGCCACAGTCGGGCCGAATGCCTCCCGGCATTGCCCTGCCTTGCCATTTACCCCTAAATCCTAGATCGGGAGGTTTTCAGACGGGTCAAACTGCACACCGCAGGCCATGTTGGCTGGCACGGCGATGTCAATCTGCTTCGGGTTCGGTAGGTTGAGGTCCTCCATGAGCTTGGCAAAATCCTCAGGAGACTTGGTCAATCTGGGGTTGAACATTTTCTCCTCCAGCACGGTCGACACCCCTCTGTCCTTGTAATCATGGCCTGGGCAGATGAGGGCATCATCTGGAAGAGTGAAAATCTGTGTGTGAACACTGTCATGGAGAGTGAAGGAGTTGCCCTGCTGGAAGTCAGTCCTGCCACAGCCACGAATCAGAAGGGTGTCACCGGTGAAGGCAAACGTGGCCGTCTGGGTCATCAGTACATATGTCACACAGCCATCAGTGTGACCTGGAGTTGCGCGAACCTCCAGGGAAAGGTCGCCGAAAGTCACCTTGTCCCCATGCTGCACGTGGATGTCTGCTTGGGCCCCAGACGACTTGGAGATGATGGTCTGCACATGTGGGCAATCCTTTCGCATCGCACCGCCGGAAGTCACATGGTCTGCATGGCAGTGCCTAAGTCAGGCAAGAAATTGCCTGCAGAGTTTCAAAGAGAGCTCAGCAACAGTTCTGTCCACGTGTCACGTGTCACTGAGTGCGGTTCGTGTTCAGCACGTACTTCAAGTGCAAACCCAGCTCTGTGATGGCCTTTCGGTCGCGATCCTTGTGCTCCAAAACCGGGTCGATCAGCACAGCTTGCTTGGTGGCTGGACAGGCAATCAGGTATGTCCTTTGCTTCTCTCCCTGCCACTACCGCAATGCCTACATTGCCTACATGCAATTCAAAGACAATGAGTGCTCTTAAAGAAGCCCAGCGTCAAAGTGCTGGACACGGGATCAAAGAACTGCCTCACCTCGGGGCTCTGCTGAACCAGCGGGCTGCCATCCCGTTGTCCCAGCGAGGGCAACCTCGACTGGAGCCAAGCTTTGGCCTCCGCTCTCACGGTGTCGATCTGGAGATCTGCAACCAGAAGGTCTACGCAGCCCGGGGTGTAGCCGCGCATCTTCGCCATCCAAGCGAGCATTGCAATTGCAGCTCGGGCAGCCGGGCAATGCAGTTAACCAGCTCCTCGACGACACTGGCTGGCAGGTCTTTGTTAGGCTTGAAGGGAATGACCTCCAGCTCGCAGCCCTCTGCACGTATCGGTGCAGGGAAGTAATGCTCATCCGAAGTCTCATTCAAATACAGCCATCCCTTGCAGTGGCTTGCAAGCTGCCCCACCACATCGCAGGGCAAGTTGCCACTGACCAAGACGTCTCCAGGCAGCGCAGGTCGGCGGAGCGGGAATCGGGCTTGCATGTTCTGGAGCGCTTCCAGCTTCACCTCACGGCTAATTACAGTACGTGCACGGGTACTCTAAGGTGTCCCTGAAAAACGTGGCAGCTCCCGGCCTTGTCCTTGATTGGTGCACCAGCGGAGCAGCCCATGGCGTTGAGAGGACTACAGGCGACAACGATCCGGGTTGCTCCTGATCCAGCTCTTTGCAGGAGTCAATGCCGGCTTGCGTTCTTGTTGAAGTTGCAGCTCGACAAGCCCCAATGCGGGCATGCTGCATGCTCAGGCAACTGGTGAATTCTTTCCGAGCGGCAGAAGGAGTAGAACCTGATCAGCATCATGCTTCGTAGCATGTGATCCACAAGCGATGCGTGCTTGCCAACACACGTGCCAACACACAGGTGCATGCTTCCTGGGATACCGCCGTCACGGACAGCCGTCACGGCAAATTTCAATTTCCATCCGAGCAGCTTCATGTAGGAGGGCTCCTTCACCGGATTGACGCATCCCTTGGCGAGATCTGTAATCGCACATCTTGCCTAATTGCATGGACTCGGACACCGCACATACCCCTCAAGTGTCAGCTTCCTTCTGGTTCTGGATGTTGCGCAGACGCTTCTTTTCGGGAAGTATCTCCGACGAGAGGCAATGGCACCAAGAAGGCAAACCTGCCGTAGCTGCAGATCTCATGTTTAGTTCTGCACTGTGTTGAGGTCCTTTGCTCCAATAACTTTGGATGGGAGCTCTGATGGGCAGCAATGACATTCTCATGAGCGTCTCGCCTCCCAGTCGTCCGGCAGGTTTGACATGAGGTCGCCCAGGCGAGCTTTGAAGTTGTCCACCAGCCGCACGTCATCCTGGCTCGGAGCGATACCGTAGGGTAGGAAGCCTCAACAGTCTGCTGAAGAGCTCGTTAGCTGTGCACGGAATTGGTGGTTCACGGACAGCTTGGCTGAAAGAGTCGCTATAATACAAAGAGCTACGGACACCGTGAATGATGCTACCAGTGAATGTTCGCAAGGTCAAAAGCGAAGGCTGTCACACCAACTGGTTTCATTCATCGCCGACGAGGAGACGACAAGAAACGGCAAAGGCCCATCACCAAGAACGGCACCTCCAGCACGACCACTGCAGGCAGGTCGTCGTCAACAACCTGTACAAGCCACTGGCACGCGAACCCCCATTCAGAATAGGTTGGCTAAGCTGGATAAACTGTTGTGTGTGTGTGAATAAAGGAAGAAACAGTGACAAGCAAAACCAGACGTGCTGGGTTTCAAGAATCCGTTTCCCTGGGCTTTTGCACGATTTTGTACATGAGTGAACCTGTGCAAGCTGGGGTGCCAACTTTGGAGCTCCATGCAGTCCATGCATGGAACGAGATGCCCCTCTATCTGACACTCATCCACCATGCAAAAGCCGGCAGTTTGAAGTAGCCGGGAAAACAAGCTGGAACCTCTGCATGGACACCGCGGAACTCAGCTTATTGTCGGGCTCTGTGGCAACATGGGAACACAGCAGAAGACTATGCTGACAAAGCTACAGACTCTGTCTTCATTCGCAGTCCTCGTACCGTTGCGCGCCCCGAAAGCGCCGGTTGGTAGATCAGCTACCAAATGCATGCATAAACAGCAGCACGCCTAGTCCATGTCAGCGAACCTTTTGAACTGCTAGCTGCGTCTACTGCTGAAAGATCCGCCTGCACCAAGCCAACTGCATCGGATGCATACAAAGAAATGTGTGAGCTTGTTCGTTACATGTGTACATACACAGATTCAACACAAAGACATCATACGTGCACACACACCAACTCCAAAGGGAAGGTCAATCGAAGGCGTTAAGAAGCATAATTTGTCTCGATACAGCTCCCGGTTGCCTCTCTAGGTGGGAAGCTGATGCTTCACTTCGCCCTTGTCACGAAGTGCAGTGCAAGCATGTTAAAATGCTGAGAATCAAGGGAGCAATGCTCTTGTAGCATGGCATGTTGCAGGAAGTGGTACTTGCATGTGGGCAAGACGCGGGATCTTGAAAACCTCTTGTGGATTGTATGCACATTTGGCGTTCTGCACCCTGGCGTAATCAGCGTCGGATGCAAAGAACCCTCTCGGCGACTCCCTCTTGTCAGAATCGATGTAGTTCCCGTAGCCCATGATCTCCGTCCCTGTGGTTGCACGTGCAAATGGCAACAACGTGCTCCAAGCACGTTTTGACCAGCGGCTCGGGCCCACCCCCGTGCCTGTGGCATAGACCTGATTGAACCATCCGGGCTCTCTGTGCCCGAAGGCGGTGTTGTGCTTTCGGGTCATGGCACCAGCGTGAAAGTCGAGCTGCATAAAGAGCTCCGAAATCCCTGCGTGCGACGCGTTCTGCATGGCAGAGAACAGAACGGCAATTCCCTCGTCCTTCAGAAGCGTAGCGTCGTCGAAATACATAGAAAAGACGCGCATGTCAGGGCGGCCCTGCGTAACCGAAAAAGTCGAACTCCAGGCTTCGCTGCTTCGGAAAGGGTCAAAATCAAGGACGCTGATGCTGCTAACGCTTTCACGATCTGACGTGGATGAAACATGAAAGCTTCTCAGCACGCTCAAAGGGAGAACGCATGGCTCGCACGATCCCCAGCAATGGCACATGACTCTGAGTTGGGCTCCTTTGGCATTTCGGGGGAACCAGAACTGTGCCCAGAGAGGCGTGCCGCCAGACGCATCATTTTGACGAAGCCACTTCATGACCTTGATCATTGGACCCGGAAGCGAGGCCGGAAACCATATGCTGAGCTGAGTGACGTTCGAAGGCTTTGCGACAGCTCTCAGCTGCCATCGGGTGACTACCCCGTAGTTTCCTCCAAGGCCTCCTCTTAATGCAAAAAGCAACTCAGCGTGCTCGTTACGCTCAGTTGCGTGCACCAGCGAATACTGGCCCTGGCCAGAACGATTTAAACCAGTTACAAGAGACTCGCCAGACCCGGGCTGCCACACGACCACGTCTGCAGAAACCACCCTGTCACAGGTCAGACCATGGTTCACCGCGAGGAGGCCGTAGCCTCCGCCCTGAATGAGACCGCTTAAGCCCACAGACCTACAAGCTCCTGCAGGGACAGTCAGGGGAGGCGTGTGCTCCGAAAGAGTGTCATACAAGTGCCCGTGGTTGACGCCTCCACCGACTGATGCAATCCACTCTCCGTCAATATGCTCAATTTGAACATCCTGGAAGGATGCCATATGTACGACGATGCCATCTTGAACTGTGCTCTGGCCGATATACGAGTGGCCATGATTTGACCTTACAGCAACTGGTATGTTACACTCGGCAGCCAGGCCTAGAATCGAAGCTATCTCTCCAGCACTTTTCGGTGCAACCACCGCAAGCGGCTTAATGTGCTCTGTCGCAAATGGTGCATTGATTGGAGACGGCATGCCAAGAACATCACCAATGGCATTTTCGGCTCCACCAAGACGAGCCCGCAACTCGTTTAGAAGACCATCGCCGCAAATCTCTGCAAGTGCAGGTTTGAAGACCAAGGAAGCAACTGCAATAAACCACATGATGCCCGCAATCTACCGGCCTGCCTTGATTATTGGCCTGGAGCCAAAATCTGAATTGATGTCTTTGGAACTCGCACTGGGGCGACCGATCACTTATGTTTTTTTTTGTTGCTTGTTTTTTCTGGTGTCGCTAGTTTTTTAAATGTGTCGCTTGTATTTTTTCTTTCACACACACACACAAAGGCCTTCTGCCAGATCCGGCGATGGCTCATGAAGCAGCCAACCATACCCTTGGTGCAAAACCTCGGCATCAAAGCAGCGAAGGGCGCACTGCTCAACGTTTTAGTCACACTTTTCCTTCGAATGCTGCCAAACGCACCGCTAGAGGGTGACGTGTTGAGGCGCACGGCGACTGGATGAGGGGCTCGGGGCTAGATTCTCCAGAACTGGAGACGGGTAGTTTGCATCTGAGACGTTATAGAATGCTAGCAACTTAGACTTCGGAGTCGCGCCACATCCATCCCGCCTCTTGTTCTGCCTCGTCATGAGACAGCCCACAAAACGAGCCGCACAGCGAGATGATGCTGAAAAACTGTGCAGTTGTGACCTTCTGGCACTGTACAGCACAACAAGAGCCAAGGGAAGCAGACAGTGACGCCAGGATCCAGAAGCGACTCCTGGAGCTCCTTTCTGCTGTTCGCATCGTATGATCTCCTACACGTATACTATAGGTGTATATACATATGTATATATATATATATATATATATATCCGCACATATATCCACATATTACATAAGCCCGGTCTCAGCCACACCCTCACTGGAAGGACGCCACTGTCACTCCGCATGATCAAGTGTAGGCGGCTGCCATTCAGAAGAGCTGGTTGCATGTTGCGGCTGTGGCGGCCTCAGAGGCTGAATCAACGTGGCTCGAGTATCAGGTGGGGATCCAACTAGCAACACACGCAGGTACCAGCAGCTAGGTTAGTGGATGCTCACACCCCGGGAAACTGCAGCCGGAAAGCCTCAGTCTCTAAGTCTCCAAGACCTCCACACTCAGAAGTCCAGCTTCCGCACCGCCATCCACTCTGCCACCTCCTCGTCCGTGATTTTCGCCCGGATCTCCTGCAGTTTGTGACTGACGACGATGGGGATAAGGGTGCGGCCGCAACGAGAAGGTAGTCACAGTGTTAACAAAACACTCGGCGCGAATGCAGTCCATCGCCGACGTCGCACCCCGACGCGTCCTGATGTCGCTTCACCAGCACCTTCAAGACCTCTATCAACTTGCTCTTGACCTGCATCACTGCATCACAGTCATGCCAAGCTGGACATGCAGAGAGAGCACGAATGCGATCTCTGCATCGCCTGCCCGGTGTTCCAGTAGTCTTCGCCTTTCCCTGAGCCATACTGCTCCTGCCAGCACGGGATGCACTCAAACGGCAACTTGTCTGGCCAGCATAACATCGCAAGTCCATAAAGCTGCCGATGCAAGTGACATAGAGAACATCGCAGAACAATCCTGTTGCATTGCAGTGCCTTCGACGAGGACCACAATGCCATGTTGTGAGAGCTTCGTATGCCCAGTCCTCTATCTTCCGGAGCTCGGCATCGTCATCCAGGAAGAATCTGAGCCACCTTGGATCTTCTTGTCTGCGACCTTCAACTGTCATTACCCCTCATAGGATGCTTTGTCCACGGCAGCAGGTGCGCCGCCAATGTTAACAAATAATTAGGTCAATTTGGTCATGGTAAACCTCTAAAGTCCAAGTCGGTGTTCATCAAAAGTCCTGGATACACAGCTGCTGCTCTAGGTGTCGAGGTTTTGCCTCGGTGCATGTCTAGAAGCTTAGCTCGCGGTTCGCTACCACGTGAAGTCACCCCAAATTCCTCAACTATTTACGCTGGAGAGTCGACGAGCCTCCTCGTCAACGAGCCCTATTTCCCAGGCAAGCCAAGCCACTGGTAGGACACGTCCACATCCTTACTGACACGAACTAGCCCGCTGGTTTCTTTGGGCTGTTTCTGGGCCCCACCACTTTAACACGAGTCTGACCAGTTCAAGGTGCTAGATCGGCTCCCTTTTCTTTTTGCTCTTTGGCCGTTTGCCGGCCACCTCAGTCTCTTTTGGACTGTCACGAAGTGAGAAACGATTCCAGAACATGACACGCCATGCCTGAGAAAGCGTACTGCTTGATCTTCTTCTCAATCTCATCGGGAGTGTCTGTCAAGAAGATTGCCTGAAGCTGCTAGCTCTAATTGCACAACAGTTCCTTCCAGCCGAATTCCTCTTGACGTTGAGAGAGGCAACTCCACTAAACACTTCACTTCTTCAACCACAGAAATCAGTGTCTTATATGACATGGTATGATATACCATTTACTGCATGTTAGAGTTTATACTGAAAATGTACTCAAACATTTTATGCTACGAGTATCTTCCAAAGCAACTTGATGCATCTGAATGGCTGTGTTCGTGTCAGAGGCAGCCATTTTGCCATCCGCGCCGGTCAAAGGCGGGAAGAACTTGCCTCGGGTCTTTCATTGTCATGTTTAAAGAAGTTTAATGGTCTACCAGGGGCTTTCAGAAAATGTTGCTTTTCGGTTGTGCCATGTGCGGACACTTTCAATGCTTAGTGAAGGCCCAGAGACATGCTGGTCCAGTCAGGGCAGGCCAGGTGAATCACGCCAGACGGAGTCACGAGTGGCAGCTTCGTGTCTCAAAGCACTTCAAAATGGGGCAGTTTCTCCATTCTCAAATTTATTCCTCAAAAAGGTTTTGCACACTTGTTATTGGGTTCTCACGTTCGGTGTAAGTGCGGCCTTGGTTGCCTTTGTCGTTCGGTGAGGGTTTTGGGCTTGAGATTTTGGGAAAGCTTGAAACCCTCGAAACCCACAAAAGAAGGCAGGGAAGCGTTGCGGTCCGGGTGTCTCTGGTGGTCCTGGTCGCGTGTCGTATCACGGTTCAGGGATCTTCTGAAGATTGTCATGATGCTCTGGTGCAACAAGCTTGTTCATTCTGAGGGGCGAGGGGCTGCGAAATTCAGAAAGATCCCTTTAGACAGAACAAATCCCCGGATGCTCAACAAAAGCCCAGCGGCAATGAATCAGGGACGGCTTTCCTTTGAGGGGATGATCCTTCCTCGGGACCCGGCATGCAGTAACTTTCCGGCGGTGGAGCAAGTAACACTTATGTGTGGTCACCAACCTTCCGCGGTAAACGGCAGCAACAGAAGCCATCCTGAATGGAAACGCGCCGTTAACAATACATCTTAGTCTTAAATTAAAGCCTTCAATCTAGAGCCCAGTCTGCTCGACACAGCTCCTGTTGACACTGTATTTCCCGCGCTTGGAGGCGGTTGCAGAACGTTGGTGCGGCTGGGCGTCGGGACTAGCTTGTGGGCAATGTCTCGAGTGACCTGACCAAGCGCCACTGATGACATGCACCCAAAATGCCGCACCAATCGGTCGACACCCCATTCTGAACCTTGTATCAGTTGCTGGACCAAGCGACCCGGAAGTATGGATCCTGATCGATCGCGCAAGGGATCCTTGGGGACTCCACTGGTGGTGTGTGCATGTGCCAGGCCAGATCCCTTGACTTGGGCTCCAGCAAGCAAGGCAAGCGCTCGTTGTCCCCAAGAGGCACTTTGAAGGATGAGGAGAAGGAAGGCACCGCCTGCTGGTCCGTGAGACTCTCGAGTATTCCCTTTACAAGGCCTCAGTCCTTGCCTGAACGGCCGGGAAGGCAGACTGTCCGATGTTCGAGTCTCCCTGGAAGCCGAATGCCTGGCACATCGGGCTTTCCCCCCACCGTGTTCTATCCGGCCCCGACGAAATTTTGCCAGGCCGCGGATTTGGCTGTGTTGTAAGTGATTGCTTTCCAAGTCCGTACGATGTTGGGGTACATGTGTCCAACCTGTCAGAGGGTTAAGACCAATCTACAGCTTGCATCCCCTCTTACTCTCGTAGCTGAAGCAGATCCAACAAGCCAATCGCCGAGCGGGGGGCGTACTCGCAGTCGGAGAAGATGAAGGTCTTGCTCTTGTCAAAACCGCAAGCAATGATGTCTTTGGCGTTTTCGACGGTGTATCGCCGGTAAAGGTCCCTCGAGTGGCTCGACTTCCAGAGTGAAAAGCTCCAGTGCTCCGAGAAGTATAGCTTATGCCAAGATGCAGATTGTCTCCCTTGTCCGGATCGTACTCGCCCTGATGCAAGATGCTCGGGCTTAACCAAGAAAGCAGTTGCCAATCCTGGAGAGCAAGAAGAAGAACCATCGCTCGCCTTCCACAAAAACTTCTCATCGTCGGTCATCTGAATGACCAGCGGTACGTTGAATGCCTTTTGAAGCCACCTTGGCCAGAGACAAGGACTCTCGCCGCCTACCCAGAACCACAAATCATCTACTTGTATGGGCTTCAAGGAGACCGACGGCCAACATGAAGCCCGAAGCTGGAACACCCCAAGCCCTCGCACTCTCTACATTTTGTACCGAAGCCGCTGAGTGAACATGAAAGGCAGCAAGTGCCCGAGATGCATCGCCTCGGGCCGATGGGACTGAGGCTGGGAAGAGCAAGATGTTGGAACCCAAACTGTTGCTAGAGAGACACCGCGCAAGAAAGGAGCAACATGTCGCCCCGAGAAAAGCTAACACCTTCAGCCGTGGCGCCGCAGAGCTGGGCCCTCTGCCGGTGTAGAGATAGAAAGGCATCCCTTTCTCCTGCACAGTTTCACGCCGTCGAAAGCCAAGAATGCGATGCCCAAACTGCTGGAGGACTGCAACAGGCCAAACAACTCCTGCAAGGCGCAGATTGCATCCAGCTCGCGGTGGGAAAAGAATATGCTCCTCCGCCTCGGCACGGCATTCTGAAGCCCTGCAAGCCCACATGCCTCAATCGCGGCTTCGGAAGCCTGAAGTCTTCGACTGCTTGGGCAGTGCTTCAGGAGTTCGTGTTTCAATTGTTTAAATCTTATGCCGGGGATCAGCCAGCAATGCAAATCGGTAACGCGTCCTGCACCAGACAAGGCATTGAGTCTTGGCGGAAGCATTGTCTGAATGC